ACAACCTAAGAGACTATCCAATATTCTCAGCTGGACTGGGATTCCCATAGCAGTATTGAAAAAATGATTCTAAAACTTGTTGGGCATTAGAATCAACTGGGTATGTTCAAATATACTCACAAATTCCTGTGCCCCAACCTAGAACCACAGAATCAAAATCCGTATTTTTAAAAAGGTGACCCTGCAGTAGACAGCAAACCAATGAGTATGTGGAATCCACTGATTTGGAGAACCCAGTGATAGCGGAGTGGGATGGGGAGGGCCAAAAACAGTTAGCCAAGGCTCTTGCTTCCTCCATCTTCTTTCTCTATTCCACAGTTCTTTAAGGGAAGAGAAGAGAAGGCACAGAAAATAGCAGCTTTATACTGGTCTGAAAGGCAAGGCAACATATTTTTTTTTTTTTCTTTTTAGGATCCGAACCCGCGGCCTTGGTGTTACCAGCACCGCACTCTACCGAGTGAGCCACGGGCCGGCCCAAGGCAACATATTTTTTAAAAAAGAAAACTGTGGATAGCACCAGAACCAGAGTAAGGTGATCTCAGGTTCTGTCTGCATTTCTTTAAGCAATCCAAGTCAGCTTGCTTAGTGCGAAGACAAAGGACTTGGGTTCAACCATCAGGTTCATTTACCAGCTGAGTGACCACAAACAAGTCTCAGTGAATTTTAGTGTTGTATGATAAGAGAAGCCAGCCATCTCTTCAATCTCCAGTCTGTACTTCACTAATGATGTACTTGCCTACTTTGCTTTTCCATCATTTGAAACCTGCATCCCATCTGTATTTACTACTATTGCTTCTTTATATTTGCATCATGGCTCCAACCTTTTCCTCAAAACCTCATCTTCGGATTTCCATCTACAGTGATCTTTCCCTTCCCTGCTTGCATTTTGATCTTTGTTATTTACTGTTTTGTTCTCTAATCACTCACTGCATCTGTAGCAGGAGTTTCGCCAACTAAATTGTAATCTCTTCCAGTGTCATCTCATAGGCACTCACTCAAAAAAAATTATTGTGACCTATCATATGCCATGCACTGTTCTAGGCACTAGAGGTGAACAAAAAAGACAAAAACCCCTGTCTTGGTGGAGTTTACATTCCAGGGCAGGAGGGGATACAATATCTGGGAAGAAACAGTTCCTACTCAATCGAGATAAACAAAGAGGTAAAAATACACCTGGCATAAAAAAAAGAAATTGCGGAGGGGCGGTGGCGGGGGGGGAGGGGTAGAGTTTGCCTGTAAAGTAGAAATTCCAGTGGGAGGGGAGGCATGAGATAGGTAATTCTAGCTAGAACAGGATAAAGTGGATTAGTGTGGGAACGGACTGATTGAGAATGCAGGGTGAGAGGGATGAGGTGGAAAGATAGACAAAAACAAGAAACATAAATATGCAAATAAGTATTTTAGAAGATAAGTGTCTAAGCAAAAAAATAAAGTACAGCAAGCATGGGTTGCAGTTTTGAAAACCATATATTTGAGACAACGGGTTAGTGCTTTTTAGCCTATAGTTTAAACCATTTTAACTCTTACCCACTAACCTACTTTTGCTGCACACATACCCATACACATACACAGAACCTCTTCTAAATCAAGAGACAAGACACAAAGAGAAAATCAGTAAATATACAAACATATTTAGAAAAGAATTCCAAACCACAGTCAATTAAATTAAGTCAGAGTACAAGATAGCTTTGCCTTTGGCATCTAGCCTTACCCACTACCTAACAGCAGAGCTTACCCTACAGCAGTTGTGTGAACTTTAGCCTACATCTACTGTGCCAGCAAAAGAGAGAGGACCTTTGCCCTACTTTTTAATCATCTTTGTAATGTTACTCAAAAAAATACCTACAAGACCTCATATGACTACAGCCAGTGGAAAAAGTTGGATTATGCTGACACATTTCAAATTTGAAAATGTTACTCGGTTGTACAATCAATAGCTTTTCTCAAAATTCAACCCTGGTGAAAGGGGTGAGATTAAGAAAGTGAGAGTCAAATTCAGAAATATAGTCTAGTCTACTAGGGTATTTTCCTTTAATTCATTTCCTGTGAAGTTATTTTGCCACTTCCATAAGTAGGAATTTAGAATTAGGATAGGAGTGGGATTTAGACAAGATATTTTGCTCAAGATGTGACTTTCATTTGACTGTCATATTCAGAATTATAGGATTTATACAGCAGGAATGCTTTAAAACTTCAAGAATTACAAGTCAGTTTCAAGAGAATGTAATCATATACCAGTAAATGTCATAATTTCATTAAATCTTTGGCTATGCCTTTGCTAGGCTTTCAGGTTGAAGGATCAATCCATTGAGTCTAAATGGTAATCCAGGTGTGCAGGTAATTTTAAACTCACTTTCTAGACACTTTTTCAAAATTTATAAATTGTTGTTAAAAGGGTGGTAACTATAATGAGCCATATTTTCTTATTGGTGAAAACCCAATGCAAAATATATATTTATGTATGTGTACACATTTCTATACAGAAAATATAGAAAAATTGAGCTGGTAGGTTTTTATTACATATACAAAATGCAAAAATTACTTTAAAAATTCTCAGATATATGTAATTATAGTTCTTCAGGGCTGGAAAGAGTTAATAGTAGCTAACATTACTGAACACTTACTCCACGAAAAACTACTTACACCTGAGATAACTCCCTCAGAGCTGGCAAGTTAGCTCAGTTGGTTAAAGTGCACTGTCAAGGGTTTGGATCCCAGTACTAGCCAGCCGCCAAAAAACAAAAGCAAAAGCAAACTCCTTTAGACTTCACAAGGTAGTATTATTCCCCATTTTACAAATGAGAAAACAGACATAGAAATTAATTGCCCAAGGTCACCAGACGGTAAGAGGCAGAGCAAGATTCAAACCCAGAAGTCAGGCTCCAAATTTAATGCTTTTTTTTTTTTTTTTTTTTTTTTGTCTTTTTCCGTGTCCGGCAACGTATCGCAACCCTCAGTGTCGCCCCCTCCCTCCCGGTACCGGACCGGGACCGGCAACGGGATTGCAACCCTCCGCGTTGCTCCCGCGCCTCGCTCAGCCAGTGAGCGGAACCGGTCTGTATGTGGGATCCGAACCCTCGGCGGGAGCGCCACCGCGCTTCCCAAGTGGCACACTATAGCAGTGCGCCACCGGGCTGGCCCCAAATTTAATGCTTTTAATTGTTCTGTCATGCTATCTCTCATGCCAAAGAAAATTCTTAGTCTCAATCATTCATTTTACAGATGAGGAAAATAAAGCCCCCTTAGATTAAGGTATTTGTCCAAAATCACACAACTAGTTAGTGACTAGAAACCATGTGACCTGCCTACCACTTCAGTGTTACACCAGTTGCCAAACCATAGAAAATACCTTAAAACCAAATGCAGGGGCAAGTTCAGAAATATACATTCGATTTTTCAAAACTGTTAAACCATAAATGTGGAAAATAGGAAAAAAACTCCAAAAAACAACAACTGTAAGGAAGCGCAACCAAATGATAACAATAGACATATGAGTAGTAAGACACTGGGTGAGTCGTTTTTCTTAATCCCTTTCCCCAAACTTTACAGCATTTAAATCTTCTGTAATTTGGTTATATTATGTATGATTCGTACACACGAGAGAGTCCTATGAAGACTAAAAACAGTGATAATGAGAAAGCAGGAAAAGATTCAATAACTCAATTAATCCCTTACACTAAAGGGAGACTCCAGCTCCCTGTATAAAAAAAGCAGTGGTTCCAGAGGAGGAAGGAGAATGTGTGCTAAATTAAATTGAAAGTCAACTTTTCTAATTAAATAACTGTGGCATTAAGTACAACATGCAATAAAAAGTTAGTCACATTTGACCTTACAGGTTTGGGATGGAAGGAATATGCTAGGTTTTCCAGAACCACCCACTTTAACCCTTTCACTGCCAGCTTTTAAGAGAAAAAAAAACAATATAGCTGATACAGGTTGACCCGGAATCGTCAGAAACGAGATTAGAAATAGTTCTTAAAATGATCTAACATTTTACACATGCTATCTGCATATCTTAAAAATGTCTTTCCCAGTAAGTCGTAGAACCTCCCGTTGAAATTTCAATATACCGTTATACTATAGGTTCACACTGGGATTACTGGAACTGCAGGAGTTGAGTTCCCTACCGAAATGTGGTAATAAGCACAAAAATGGTTGTGAGGGAAAGGAGCAGGGAGTGGCACTGATCTGCAAGTCTGGTTAACTCCATGCAAGAAGCTTGTAAGGTAGGTCTTGTTGCGGGCAAAGTGCTGTGGAGCCACAAAGATGTGACAGACTGGGTCCCTGATCTACTAGGAACAGGCCCAAGGCCGTGATTAAAGAAAATAAGGGGCGTGAGCCCCCAAGTGCGACGCGGGAGACGTCCCGAAAGTGCCAGACACGGTGGAAAGGACTCAGAAACCTTAGGGTTACGGAGCCTGAAATCGCCGCAGGACTCAGAGTCGTGAGAGGGGAAGTGACAGTCCCTTCGCAAGGACACAGGAAACGGAGACCCAGGGCAGTATTCCCCCCGAGGGCTGAGTCCCCGAGCGGGGGTGGGCAGGCGGCAGCCAAGCGGAGACGCGGCCGCGGGCCGCCCCAGCCCCGACAGGAGTTCTGCTCTCCTCCAGGCCTCACCTCGGGAACGGTGGATCCTGAAGGCGGTGAAGCGGCTGAGACTGCCAATTGCCCGGGAGGCCACCATGTTGAGCTGAAGAAGACGAAAGTGGAGAGCCCGTGTAGTGGGGGCGGCCGGGCAGAGGCCTTTCCTTCCCGTAGCCTGGCTGACCAGGCGCCCGACGTACTGCCTGACTAAAACCCAGCCGCCGAGTTGCCGCCGGCCCCTCAGCCCTGCCCTTTGCTCACGGCTGACGGGACCGAAAGGACGCTTACCCTGCGGGAGAACGGAGGCCCATGGAGGGCGGGGCTGAGTGCCAGGTTTTCCAGTCAGGCGGCCGGCGGGCAGCCCGCAAGGCGGGCTGTGCCTACGGAAGGGGGTGAGGGGTCCTTTCTAGGCAGGACCCGCCCTTGGTCCTGCCGAGTCTTGTCAGTTGGGTCTAAACCTTTCCCGCATCCCGGACGCGAAGTAAGGTGAGGTGGTGCGTGCACTCGGCTTTGCGCCTGGCCTCTCCGCAGGCGAGATCCCATTTCCTTTCCCGCCTGCTGCGCCAGTGTCCGCGGCAGCCTTCCCTGCCCGGGAGAGTTCAAGTCGAGAGAGCGGAAGGAAGCTCCTCGGGCAGGGTCGACGGTACCAGCCGCAGTCAGGGCAGTCACTCTGACTAGCAGTGGAGCTGTAGCTCGGAGCAGCGGTGTCACTGTGCCTTAATTTATCACCGCAAGTTAACGCACTGTTGGCGCGCGCGCGTGTGTGTCTGAAACGCTGGCCTGTGTTGGAGTGTTTGTTGTTTCACCTGCCTTCCCTGTAGCCAGGTCAGTGGCTACAGAGATTCAGAACGGCGCTACACGTTTACCTGGATTTGTGCTGGAAAGTGTGGGAGTTGGTCATGTGATCTTTCGAAACTCGAATGTGGGAGGAGCTGGGACAATCCTCCATCCAGTTCGGTGATTCACAGCTCAGGGTGATTTTCTAATCCAGAAGGGACCTGGTGATCATCTTGGTCATTCCCCCTTCTCGCTTTATCGGTAAAGAAACTGATGCCCATGAAATCAGAGTGAGTGATTTTACCCATTGCCACAGGTGGTTGAAATAGGACTAGAGCCTAAGTCTGCTAACCTCTAGTCAAGAGTTCTGATTTGCATGATGGCCGGTTTTGTGCTGGAAAGACGGGCTCGAGTCCTGGAATAAAGTAATTGGTTTAAAAAGGAAGTCACATTGAGGGCTTACTGTGTTCTGGGCACCTTCACACCATTTTATTTAATCCTCACGATCCCAACATTATTATCATTTGCATTTTCTGGTTAAAGTTGGGGAGGCTTACAGGGATTATGTAAATTTTCTGGTCCGTGGCAGAGCCAGGATTCAGACATAAATCTGAGTATCACTTCTCACCAGTCGACTGGTCTATAGTAGAGGAAACAAGAAGGCGTGATGGGAAATACCAGGGAAATTGAGACTGAAACGAGGAGTATGGAAAGAAAGAAGAGCGGTTTCTATTTAAACTCAGGTCCAATAGAGAGTCCTCCATCACTGTGAGCATTTTAAGCAAAAACCGCTTATTTATTTATGTTTATACTTATTTATTCTCCTAAGGAAATTGCAAGAAAGATTCTTGATGATCTCATAAAACTTTTACAGTTCAAAGTCTGCCTCCTTCCCACGTAATACTCTCTTCTGCGCCTAATTGTGTATAGCACTTATTTAGATCAGGAGTGGCAACATTTTCCTGTAAAGTGCCAGACATTAAATAATTTAGGCTTTGCAGACACACAGTGGTCTCTGTCATATATTCTTTTTGTTTACAACTCTTTAAAAATGTAAAAACTATTCTTAGCTAGAGGCTCATGGGTTGTAATTTGCCAACCCCTGATTTAGGTCACCCTTTTGGCTCCACTTTTTTGTTCCCAGCACTCTCAACAAAATGGTAACACCGTCAGGGCAGAAATGTGTTGTTTTTTTTGATCCTCAGCACTTTAGTACAATGGTATACATAGAGGGGAACTAAGTACACTTATATGACCAGCCACAAATAATAATGTCTAACACAAGTATAACCATTACTATGTGTGTGTGTGTGTGTGTGTGTGTGTGTGTGTGTGTGTGTGTGTGTGTGTGTGTGTGTGTGTGTGTGTGTGTGTAATTTATGTCTTTAATCCTCACAACAACCCTATGTGGAAGGTACTGGAATTATCTACGCTTTACAGTGAGGGTTCTAAGAGAGAGGTTAAGTAACTTGCTTAAGGTCATACAGCTAGTGTGGAGCCAGGATTTGGACTTGGTGTGCCTTTAGAGTTTGTTCTCTTACCCATTATATTGTGTCTTAATGATGTAGTAATAATGAGCTCTTGGAGCCACCCCATCTTGCTTTCATTATTTCATAGCCCCTTCTACCTTTACCTTGCTCCGAGGTGCCTGTAGCTTCATGCATCTTTCCATAGTTCTACACACTACTCAAGCCTACCCTACCCCTGGAGTGTCCATGTTTTGAATATCCTTGAGTCAAAATTTCTGTTTTCTGTAGCTTAGCACATGACAGTAAAGGTCAACCCTCCCACAGAATAGTTTGCTTAGTCTCTTTTACTTTTTTTTTTGACCGGTGAGGGGATCTCAACCCTTCGCACGATGTGGTCTGCACCACGCTCAGCCAGTGAGCGCACCGGCCATCCCTATATAGGATCCGAACCCGCCGCCTCGGCTCTACCAGCACTGCACTCTCCCAAGTGAGCCATGGGGCCGGCCCAGTCTCTTTTACTTTTGAAATCTCTATTTTTTGTTAATTATTGAAGGAATATATATATCGCGTGTAATTTTTTTTCAGAAACTACAGAAAAGTCTAAAGAAAATAAATGCATATGTAATTCCGCTACCAGAGATAACTACTGTTAACATATTTTGCTGTGTATTTTTCTGGACATTTTTAATGCATTGGTATATTTTTATAAATCTATTTAGATTTAAAATAAAACCATAGTTACACTGTACATAAAAAGTAAAATGCTCATCGTAAAAAAGTTGAATATGACAAAAGAATGTAAGATAAAAGCCCCTCTTTATCCCTTCCATATACAGATTCATAGCTTTATGGGCTTTCCTCTCTCTCTCTTTCTTTCTGTCACAAAATGGGATCTTAGTACACATATTGTTCTGCAGCTTGCTCTTTTATTTAATATATATTATGAACATCTTTCCATGTCAGTATATACATGTATATCATTATGTTTTTTTTTTTTCCGAACTGCTGATTAGTATTATTAGTATTCCGTGGTATATTTGTACTGTAGTTTATTTAACCATTTACTATTGATGTGCACTTAGATTAGTTCCAGTTTTCCACAAATGTAATGCTACAATGAACATCTTGAGTATTTCTCTAGGCTAGAGACCTATGTTTGCTACACGTACATTTTGAATATTTCTGTAAGTTGAATAAGAGGAATTACTGGACTCAGAAATTCACAATTCAAATTTTGATAGATAACTACAAATTTGCCTTTCAAAAAAACCTTAGCAATTTATACTTCTATCAACTAGTATATGGAAGTGCTTCCTTAGTTAGATCCATTCTTACCAGAATTGTATATTAATTATATTTTTAATTTTTGCCAATATGATAACTCCAAAATGAAGCCTCACTTAATTTTTTTAAAAAAGTTAGTAAGGTTGAACATTTTTTATTTTGTTTATTTGGCATTTTAATTTCTTCTGTGAATTGCTTGTTTGCTCATTTTTGCTTTGGTTATGTATCAGGAAGGAGCCTTTCAATTGCAAATAACAAAATTCAAATCATATTGCCTTATTGAAGGGGATTTATTGGTTCATAGAACTGAAAAGTGCAACAGGATTGTGGATTTCAGATAGGCTGTAACTAGGCCTCTAGTTTCTTTTTCTGAAATTTTCAGCTCTGTCCTCTTTTGGCGTCAGTTCTATCCTTAGGCTAGCTTTGTTAATGATTACAAATTGCTGTAGCCATGCCAAGCCTCAGAAGGAAAGCAGATTTGTATTACAGAATTCCAGACAGAAGACTTTAATGTTAGACTGACTAAATCATCCCTAAATTAGTACTAGTGGTAAGGTTAATACCATGCACAGTTGTTTTAGGCCTTAGTTACCTGAATCAATGATCTTGGCAGAGAGAATGAGAATATTGTATATTGGTTTAAACCCAGTGATTAGGCTGGATTCAGTCCCATGTAAACCACATATGGCAACTACATAATGGTGTGAAATGGATATTGGAGTAAAACCTGCAGATTCCAGTATAGATTGTTTCTGTTTTTCTTATAATTTGTACAAGTTCTCTATGGGTTGTGTGTATTTACCCTTTTCTGTTTTACGTGTTATAAATATTTTCTCTGAATCTATTGTTTTTGCCTTTTAACTTGATTTTAGTATCTTGTAGTGTACATATTTTAAGAGTTTATATAATCAGATCTATTAGTTATTGTTTTCCAGTATGGTTCTGGATTTTGTGCCATATTTTGGAATTCCCTCCCCATCTAATGTTATAAAAATATTCTCTATTTTCTTCTAATACTTTTAAAGTTAAAAACCATATATTTAGATTGTACTTATGATGCTAGCTATGGGCCTAATTTTTTCCACATTGTTAACCATTTTCCTAACAAATTTTTTGAATAATTCATCTTTCTCCCATATTTGAAATGTGCTTATGATACACTAAATTTTCACATACATGTCTATGCTTCTGAACTTGCTATATCCTGTTCTGTTGACCAGTTTCATTTATTCCTATGCTAGAACTGCTTTGTTTTAATTACTGGTGCTTTGTAGAAAGTTTTGATATCTATTAGAGTAAGGTCCCCTTTCTGTTTTTCAACATTTTCTTGACTATTTTTATGAATTTTATTTCAAGATACAAATCTCCCTTGAGGGGATTTGTATACCAGACCATTAGTGCATTGTAAGTAGCTCTGGAAATAGTGGTGCCCATCTCACGGGCCTCTTTATGTTTCCCAGGCCAGAGTTCCTAGAATGTCCCTAGGCTGGTGAGCCTAGAACTTCTCCATTTCTTTGCAATCCACATGTTTAGAACATGTGATTTTTTTTTTTTTTTTTCATTTTGGAAGCCATAGGGCATCTTCCTCCTAGTCCGTAAGACCCAAGAAAAGTTAAACCTTAAGGCTTTTATATTATCTATTGCTTTGTAACAAATTATTCCAAAATTTAGCAGCTTAAGCTAAATATTAAGCAATAAGTATTTATCACTTCATACGGTTTCTGAGGGTCAGGAATCTGGGACAACTTAGCTGGGTTGTTCTGACATAGAGTTTTTCATGAGATTGCAGTCAGAATATTGGCCAGGGCTGGAGTCATCTGCAAGCTTGCCGCACTAGAGAATCTGCTTCCAAGTTCACTCACATGGCCAGTAGCAGGAGGTGTCAGTTCCTCCCCGCATGAGCCTCTCCAGAAGGCTGCTCGTGATGTGCCAGCTGGCTTCCCCCAGAGTGAGTGGTCTGAGAGAGAGACCCAGACAGAAGCTGCAGTTATCTTTTATAGTTTAATCACAGAAGTGACATCCCATCACTTCTGTCATATTCTTTTGTTTACACAGATAAACTGTGATATAGTGTGGGAGGCACCTTCACTAAGGGTGTAAATAGCAAGAGGAGGAGATTATTGGGAGCCAACTTGGAGGTTGGCTACCACAGCCTTCTTTGGCAAATCTTTATAGTTCTTTGTTTTTTTGTTTTGTTTTGCTGTGTTTTTTTTTAAGTTAAAACATAGTTCAAAATTAAGAAGTTATAAAAGGTGTACAATGACAAGTCTTTCTTCCCTTCCTGTTCCCTAGTTACTCAGTTCCCTTCCTTCCAGTCAGCAATTATCTTTAATATCTTCTTTATACTTCCCAGGACATTTTTTTACTGATACAAAGAAAAGTACATATTACTGTTCCTCTTTTAACATGAATGGTAGCATACTGTACATACTATTTTGTGCCTTGCTTTCTTCACTTAATGATATAGCTTAGAAATGGTTCCATATTGGTACATAATAATTTCCTTATCTTTTACAGCTCCATAGTATTTCAGTAGGTTGTTAAAGCATGGTTTACTCAGCCAATTTGCTATTGTTGGTTGTTCTAATCTTTTGCTACTACAGTGACAACATAGGTCATGTCCCATGTGTGTGAGTAATATCCTTGAAGTGGAATTACTGGGTCAAAAGTTACATACAGTCGTAGTTTTTACAGGTAATTACCAAGTTGCCCTCCAAAGGGATTGCACCAATTCACACTCTCGGCAGCAGTGTATGAGTGTCTGCGGATACTTTTACTCACACAGTGTAGATCAAACCTTTGAGTCTTTGCTCATTTAACAATTATATCTATGTGTTTTTAATTTGAATTTCTCTTATGAGTGAAATTGAGTATCCTTTCATATATTTAAGAGCCATTTCTATTTCCTTTTCTGTGAACAGTCTGTTCATACTCTGTGTCCATTTGTCTGCTGTTTTTTTTCCTTACTGGTTTGTATAAACTCATTGTTAGCAATCTAGCCTTTTTGGGGGGAGAGAGTAGTTAATATATTTTAAATATTTTTTAATAATAGGGGTTTTATGTGTATTTTTATTTTTATTATTTTGAAACATTTTTGAGCTTAGAAGAAAGTTGCAAGTGCAGTACTACAAGCTGTTTTTCCTAGTAGCATGTGAGAGTAAGTTGCTGACATTCACCATCCCTGAATACTTTAGTGTGTATTGCCTTCAAACACAACATTCCAGAAGCCTTCTACACAATCACAATACAACCTTCAAAATCAGATTAACACTGGTGGTTTCGTGATCATACCTAGCTGTCTCTCTACTTCTTTGACCCTAAAGGAGAAGAGCACAGACTCTGCCACTCACTAGTTGTGGGTATTTGGAGAAATCATTCAATCCTCTATGAGTCAGTTTCCTTATCTCTTACAAGAGTGTAATAATCATTCCTACTTCATAGGTCATTGTGAAGATTAGAAGGTTAATGCTTAGAATAGTGGCTGGCACAAGGTGAAAACTATGTCAGTGTAGCTATGATAATAATATTATTAGAGGAAGGATAGTTGATAAATTTTATATTATCTGTGGATGAAGTTATCGGAGATCATAGACTACAATATAAATTACAAATTGTTCAAATAACCCAGGATATACTTTTGTTCTTCTCTTTTTAGATTTCAGAATGTCTACCATCTTGACTTATACTTTTAAAAGTCTTCCCAGTACATCAAAATGGGCCTTTGGATTTTGTAAGTTTAATTTTTCCTTTCATTTTTAAGATTAGATTTGGATTTGTAAGCATTTTACCCAAAATTGAATAGTGTTGCTTTTTGTAAACAGTTTATTTTGTCTTCTAGCTATAAGACCTCTGAGCTGTTCCTCCCAGCTACGAGCTGCCCCAGGTACAGTAATTTGTAAAATAAACATTTCTGATTTAAATGTTAGATTACAGATTCTATATTTTGTCAATTCTGAACAAAAACCAAAACTAATTGCTGATTCTCCCCTTTTTATGAGCAACATTAACATCACTGTTGCCTTCAAATTAAAAAATTATAGGGCCAGTCAGTAAAGACATTGCATTGTTTCAGACTGAGCTTGAGGATGTTGACAGGAGGCTGCTTTCTGGGATTTGGAGCCTGATGGAGTCATGGGTGTTCCATAAATCTTGCTGGCCATTTTATTCACCCTCTGGCTGTCAGTCCTGGAGATGATTAGCTTATAAACACTCTTGAGACCATTGTGGAGCCAAAAGTTAACTTTTTAAATTTGCAATTAGTGATATGCTTCTGTGTTACTGAATATCTTCTTATCCCATATACCAGAGAACCCATTCCTGAAATAGAGTTGATTGAGGAACTAGTTAATTAAAGGAGGTTGCTTACTTAATATGAGGTGAAAGAGTAAGGAAACTTGTTGATTTTATATGGTCATTTAGACCTTCGGTAATTCCAGTGAATTAGGTTTCTTTACTATTGAATACATACTTTTGAGTACATATAGCAATAGGTATGTATATTCACTGGATAGTGCTAAAAACATCCTGACAAATTCTTAACATTTTTCTTCTCGCCTAGGTTTTGTATTGATCTATGCCCCTGATTTCAGTTTTATTATGGTATTTCTACTTGTATAATAATAGAAAAATTACCTTCAGGATTTAGAAGACCTGTACTGTGTTCCTGCTCTACCTCTTTCTGGGCAGCGTGGCCTTGAACTGGTCATTTTACTTCCCTGTGCTTTAGTTTCTTTATTTAAGAAAAAAATATAATAATTCTAGTCTTGTTAACCTCATGTAGTTATGAAGATACCTCAAAGCACTTTGAAAACTATAAACTCAGTATAAGTGCAAGATGGTATTTTTATATTGTTTTGCATATGGCATATTCTTTCAAGGTCTGTTGCCTAATCTCACCTAGAGAAGTTTCATGTTGTCATGTAATAAATGTATTTCTTGTAGCCTCTAAATTCTTTTTTTTTTTGACCGGTAAGGGGATCGTAACCCCTGGCTCAGTGTTGTCTGCACCACGCTCAGCCAGTGAGCGCACCGGCCATCCCTATATAGGATCCGAACCTGCAGCCTCGGCGCTATCAGCACCGCACTCTCCCGAGTGAGCCATGGGGCCGGCCCAGCCTCTAAATTCTAATTAGAATATAGATTTCTCTTAGTCCCACAAAGAATAATTTCTTTCTGATTCATTTCACCTTTTCCCTGTTCTAATGTTCGCCCATGCCTTTGCTTTGTAAAGTCACACAAATAGACCTGATCCTTGCCAAGCAGGAGATGAGCATTCTGAATATCAACAGAAGAAAGCATTTATGTAGCATTTAGACTATTCTTTTTTTGGCAGCGGCCAGTATAGGGATTGAACCCTGGATATTGGTGTTATCGGCACCACGCTCTAACCAACTGTAAATTATTTTTTATAACTGCTCTGTAACTGTTTTTGATGTTTCTGTCTCCCCAACTATATTGTAATTCCTTGTTTTTATATCTCTAGTGTCTAACGTAGTGTCCTACAAGTAATTTGTTTTAGAACTGATGATGATAGTGGTGCAAGAAGACACATGATAAGACACAGGAATGTGACTGGCTGATATGTGAGGAGGAAGTGAATATGTGCCTGTGCTGAGTAGGTTTTAGGTTGCAGTAATTTTATAATTAATTCCTCCTGAAGCTCATGTGAATATCCCTGCTTGACAGAGCCATTAGGATGGAGAAATTCAAATAGAGGGGAATAGGATTTATTGACATTTTCAGTCACCTGATGGACTGGAAATGTAAGTACCTGATGGTAATTTTGACTGATTTGATGGTTTTATCTATGTATATCTATATATCTTCATATATATAATGCACATCTTTAATCTTTCTTTGATTTTAATTACACAGTATAGAATGTATATCAGTCAGCCATTGAATCCTAGGTTGAAAAGAACATTTTGGAGTTGAAAAGAACATTTGAGGTCATATAGCCCAGCTCCCATATTTGCAGACAAGAAAATTTCGGCAGAGCAGGGACTGGAACCTAGATATTTTAACTCCCCATTCAGATTCTTATAATTCATTGCTACTGTGCACCCATAGTTCTGTGGAATATATAAAAAGGAGTTATAGCCTTTGCCCTTAAGAAAGTTGTAGTGTGTTTAGGAGCTAGTGTGCACATGAAACAGAATGAGAGTCCTTTAGGGGACTGTTCAATACATCACGAATAATGAATATTGTTTTTTAAATGTTGCTTGTTGAATTAGTTTAATTACTTCATAACACACTAAATTGTTTGGAATGGCTAATTTTTGCCCTAGAGGTTGCCATGGGAAGTTCAGATGCAGTTATCAGGGAAGGCTTTACTAGTAGGTGGAGTATGAACTAGGCCCAAAAGATATGTGAGAATTAAATGGTCAAGATGGGGCCACGCAGCTGGGAGGGTACATGAGTAAAGGCAAGGAGGTCAAAGCGAGCAAGGCTATAAGGGCCTGGGAGCTTGTTCATCTTGTTATATTTTGAGGACTGCTGGGAAATACTTTTGGATAATTGAGATGGAAGCAAGTAAATCAGGAAATTTGTTGGAGGATATAAGAATTTGAATTTTTATCTGAAAGTGTATATAGAAAGACCATGTGGTCAGTTCTTAAAAAGCAGAATGACATGATGGCATGTCATCTGATTTTTTTTTTTTTTTTTGTCTTTTGTCTTTTTCCGTGTCCGGCAACGGATCCCAACCCCCAGTGTTGCCCCCGTACCAGACCGGGGACCGGCAACGGGATCCCAACCCTCGGTGTTGCTCCCGCGCCTCGCTCAGCCAGTGAGCAGGAACCGGTCTGTATGTGGGATCCGAACCCTCGGGTGGGAGCGCCGCCGCGCTTCCCAAGCGGCACCCTTATCCAGTGCGCCACCGGGCCGGCCCCTGTCATCTGATTTTTTTTTTTTTTTGTCTTTTGTCTTTTTCCGTGTCCGGCAACGGATCCCAACCCCCAGTGTTGCCCCCGTACCAGACCGGGGACCGGCAACGGGATCCCAACCCTCGGTGTTGCTCCCGCGCCTCGCTCAGCCAGTGAGCAGGAACCGGTCTGTATGTGGGATCCGAACCCTCGGGTGGGAGCGCCGCCGCGCTTCCCAAGCGGCGCACTTATCCAGTGCGCCACCGGGCCGGCCCCTGTCATCTGATTTTTTGTCTCAAGGTCAGTCACGAGTTATTTGCAGATCTTGTAATTTAGTAGCCTATTTTCAGTCCTCATTCTCCTTAGGATTGAAACATCTGACCACCTTGTTCTCCTGGATACTCTCCTGCCTTTGCTCTCATATGCTGTTCTGTCTTGATTTTCCTACTGCCTCTCAAGGTTACCTTCTGTCTCATATCTTCTCTCTTTCCTCTCAACGTAGGAAAGTCAAAAGTGTCTTTTTATTGTGAGTAATGGACCCTCAAGTTAAGGATGAAAGTGTTAATGTGTACTACAGCTGGGAAAGTGTTAGGAACCAAGCAAGCAGCTCTAGAGGCCAGCTACATTGTCTCTGTCATATCATGTGGTATGTCCCTCTCCTGGCCTTTCTGCTTCTCTCCCTTCTTCACTCTTCTTGCTGGCTTCTTTGCTCATCCATGGTTTTTGCTGCCCCATAATTCTGTCTTACAAATGACTTCAGTTTATTACCACCCCGGATCTTCCTGATGGCATCTTTTCAGCTGCCACTAATTGGTATTTCTTTCCATGCTGCTTTGCTTAGAGACAGATTCTGACCAGCACATTTTATCACTTGTAGGTAAATGAGACACGTTACTGGTTGGCTACTATATAGATGGACCATTGATGGGCCTGGCACCCACTCTGAATGTAATCAGCTTTTGCTATGGGCTTAGGGACGTGGCCATGTATGGTTGCCCCTTTGGCAGGGACTGTAAGCAGGACAATTTCCTCCAGAGGGGGCTATGGGAGAGCAGGCATTGCAAAATATGTCTCACTTTCTTCTGTATTCTAAGCTTCAGATATCTCATGACTTTCTCATCTACACTCACTTCTCTTCAGAGCTTTTGTTTTGTATCTTCAAGCTACCGGCTGAATGGATATATCCACCTGAATGTCTCTCCTTCACTTTAGCAAGTTTAGAAATGAAGTCATCTTTTTTCCAAAACCAATTCTCACTTCGTGTAGAGTAACTAGGTTTTCTTAGTCTCTAAGCTTTCCTTATAATCCATTTCCTTTTTCCTTTCTTTCTATATCTGATTGGTCACCAAGATATATATTCTTCCTGTATAAAATCTTTTGTGTTGGTCCCCTTCCATTCACATTGATACTGCCTTTCCATTGGCCTTTAGCACCACATGTTTGGGTTTGCCACAGTTTCATCACTTACTTCCTTGTTGCTTCTCTTTCCTTCACCAGCATCTCCATTAGAGCTGCCAGGGTAATCTTTGTACCCTGTTTATCATGACTCTTAGCTCTCACTACTATTTCTTTCAAGTTGGTTTTATATATTTATCATAAGTCTTTCTCTGTGACATTAAATGGGTGTGTTTAAGGTGGTTGTTGAAATTTTATTCCTAACAATTTAGGACTTTTCTCTATCTCTGATGATGAAGGAGTGATGATGATAGTAGGTGAATTCTAACATTAACAACAACAAGAAAAGAATGAGATAGATTTAGATATACTAACATGAAAAGATCTTTAAGCTATATTGTTAAGTCAAAGTAATACACAAATGTATGCATGTATATGATACACAAGTTATGCATGTACATGCATTAAAAGAAAAAAGATTTGAAAGTATCTATACCAAATTAACAATACTTACCTCTGGGAAGGAAATAATATGGCAGGGGCAGGCATAAGGAGGGACTTTTAGTTTTACTCTCTATAGTTTAGTATTTGTATTAGTCCGTTTCTGTTGCTTATAACAAAATACTTGAAACTGGGTGTTTTATAAAGAAAAATAAAATTTATTGCTTATAGTTTCTGAGGCTGAGAATTCCAAAGTCTATCTCATGGTGGCAACAGTGATCCAGTGGTCTCACATTGTTAGATGGTGGAAGCAGAGAGAGCAGAGAGAGAGAGAGGGGGCTCCTTATAAAGCCCTCAGAACCATGCCCCTGACCACAACTTTTAATCCATTCACTACTGCATGGTCCTCCAATGTAATCACCTCTTCAAGGCTCCACCTTGCAATGACTGTAATAAGATTTCCCACCCTCTTAACAGTAACAGTGGGGTCAAGTTTCTAATACATAAAACTTGGGGGACACAATTCAAACTTCAGTGAGTTTTGGGGGGACATAATTCAATCCAGTACAGCACTGTTTACAACTTGGGGGACACAATTCAAGCTTCAGTGAGTTTTGGGGGGACATAATTCAATCCAGTACAGCACTGTTTACTTTTTTTTTTTTTAGCCGTATGCATATATTCACATTTTATTCTTTAATTTAAAAAAACTAATGGAAGGTTGTTCTTCTGAGGTTAAAAAAGTATTTGGGGAATTTGAGTCAAACAGAATCAGGAAACATTCTAGATTTTTTCAGAATAGCAATAATCATCAACTAAGTGGCCTTTATTTCTACATAGAAAGGCAAGAACATCAAACTATGTGAAGAGTGAACAATATCAACCATTGCAACTTCTAATATTAAAGGCATACTTATGTGTAAAATTGTTTATTTCTTTTTTTTTTTTTTCTGATCGGTAAGGGGGTCGCAACTCTTGGTACGGTGTGGTCTGCACCATGCTCAGCCAGTGAGCGCATTGCCATCCCTATATAGGATCTGAACCCGCGGCCTTGGCACTACCAGCGCCGCACTCTCCCGAGTGAGCCACGGGGCTGGCCCCAAATTGTTTATTTCTAATGCAATAGATTGTCAGACACTTGATAAAAATGAACAATTTCGTTTATGACATAAATACCCTCATTATAGGTATAATCTTGTTTGCCTTAAATATTATTTGGAAACTTGTAAATGCTAGCCAATTTAAAAAAAATATTGAAGTGGTTTAGTAAATGGCAAATGCAACTTGTTGCTGAATGATGTAATTCTTCTTAGAATGTCTGTTTTTAAAGATGTAAAAAGTGATCTGACTTCATAAATTTTAATTAATAATGTTTTGAACTTTATCTTACAGCTGTTCAGACCAAATCAAAGAAGACCTTAGCCAAACCCAATATAAGGAATATTGTGGTGGTGGATGGTGTGCGCACTCCGTTTTTGCAGTCAGGCACCTCGTAAGTATGAAATGATCATGTTATTTGTTTCTGCTTTTAAGGCACTGTCCAAAAGTGGTCTTTGTAAATGTAACCCAGTAGGTAGTAATGCTATTAGTGGACTAATATATGGATAGTATTTCCATGAATTTAATATAGAATCAGTCAAGCCAGTGGTGAAATAATATGGCAAAATTTGTTTTTTATCCTTTTTCATGAACAAGCCTAGTATCGTTTTAGCTTGAAAAAGCCCTAGTGTAGTTCCAGATAGCTTGCATTCAACGGAGGTATCATTTCCTTTTCTGGAGACAAGTACATTGTTTTTGTGCCTCCTCCAGAAGTTTGAGTGCTAAGGATGTAGGCTTATGGGCATTCTGAAGGTCCTATAATCCACTACTTTGGCTTCCTGGAATGATTAGGATTAGAGTTGACAGGGCTGGTCCAGACCCCTGGCATACAATAACCTCAAGTGCGTGGGAGCACTTAAACAAGCAAGTAAATACAGTTCACACCCAGGTCTAGGTTTCTAAATAGCATTCTTCAGTAAAAGGAACCAGGACTCCTTAGAAGAATGACTAAGGCTGGGCCAGAGAAAACACAGGATGAGTGGGGAGCATGTTGCAGTGCTGTAGTGCCAGAAAGTAAAGAAGTGCTTTAAAATGTAAAATTTAAAAAAAAATGGGGTTGTGTCAAAAGGATGTGGGACCAACCTGAAAGAGCTCCCAATCACTAAAGTTGGAACAATTTGAGCAATAAAGTAAATTACAATAGTATTTGATCATAACCCAAAGGATAAAATAAATGTCCCTGAGTTCAATCTGATATAAATAAATGATTGAATAAATAAATGAGAGAAAAGGGACAATTCTTCCTTACAGAAAAATTTTAATTAATGAATAAAGCAGGGACAAGTAAAATAAATAAAATGTTATTAGAATACTACAGTAATAATTGCTGTAAGCGAGATCTATAAATGAATGATAAAATTACTTAGTGAAATGTTAGGAAGAAACAGGATATTTGCATAGGTTCAAAGTATCTCACTCAAAATATTTATTAACTACTGTGGTGATTTTAATGTATGTCCAGAAATTCTATGTTACTCCTTCCACTAGGAAATGTAGCTGAATTCTCCTCCCTGTGAGTGTGGGCTGAACTTAGTGACTCACTTCAAACAAATTGAGTACAGAAAGGGAAAAATAGTAACTTTATAGTGGAGAAAACTGGCAGAAACCATTTGAACCAAATGACCAAGTTAACATCAGCAGTAATAACTCGTGTTGATGTCATGCCCTCCCTGATATGAAGCAATGAGAAGAGCACTTTACCTCTGTGATATTCTTTCCCCAAATCCATAACCCCAGTCTTCAAAAGCATCAAGGTCATGAAAGACAAGGAAAGACTGAGAAACTGTCACAGATAGGAGGTGGGTAAGGAGGCATGACAACTAAATACAATGTGGTATCCTGGATTGGATCCTGGAACAGAAAAAGGACATTAGTGGAAAAACTGGTGAGATCCACATTAAGTTAGTAGCTTGTGAATAGTTTTGTACTAATATTAATTTCTAAGTTTTGATAAGTATATCATGGTTATGTATGATGGCAGCATTAGAAGCAGGGTAAAGCATACACAGGAACTCTGTTCTGTTTTTCCAATTCTTTTGTAAATTGCAAATTACTTCAAAGCAAAAAGTTTCTATAAAAGTCCTAATATATCCCCTATATTCCTTTAGGCATTACAAAATAAATAAATATTTAAAAATAAAATTTAAAGAAAAAGGAGACCTCAAAAGGTGGAATTTAGTTTTATAGGTCATTCTGAACAATAAGATATTGGTAACATTTTTGTTAGATTCTTAGCAAGCTCAGCAGGAGTTAAGGCTTGCCAGATTTTTAAGAATGGCAAATAGCAAAGTCACACTATTTCTTCATTTAAAATGATGGACTGCCTTGGATAGTAAAGTTAAGTGCATTTGCAGCAGCATATGTTAGATGATCTCTGGGTATTTCAGATAGAATGAAAAAAATTTTTTATTGAAGCTCTAGCCTTTGGTTTAAATTGTTTGTTTTCTTTTCCCAGATATAAAGACCTGATGCCACATGATTTGTCTAGAGCAGCACTTACGTAAGTAAATGCGGTTTCATTTTAGTACTTATTTTATTAATGGCACTTTCGCCAGTTTTTACACTTGAAATAGCATGTTAAATAGAATTTTTATATCTAGGCTATGTTAACTTTTATGTGGTGAAAAAACACTGATTGGCTTTTACAAGATTAATTTACTCTTTTTAACCATATGTGCTACACAAATTTGAGCAGCTTATGAATGTCAGTGATCTTTATTTTGCAGGCTTAACAAACAGTGTCTTGGCATGACAGTGTTCTTTAATGAGCACCTTACCTAGCCACAGGATTAGACTGATCAGCCTAAACACAATACATACATTCGATGATTGTCTTAGACAGGAACTTAATTTCTGTATAAGGGTAGCTGATAGATTATGTAGACATTTATCTAGAAAGAAGCCCAGAAAGAGACCTGAAGATTCATGTACAAACCAAGTAAAAATATAAAATTAGATGTGGTTAAATGAGATTGAAATGGATGAATAATTTGGTGAGTCCTTTTGATGTTTCTGGGAGGAAATAACACGTAAGGCATTATCTCATTTCTTTCCTGTTGATACTTTGTCTTTGTGTCTTCAACCAGCCCCAGTTCTTTCCTAGTTTGAAAAAACTCTCCAGTTGACCTTTCTGTCCATTCTAACTCAGGCTCTGTTTCTTCTCTCCTGCCAGACTTCAAGAACGAGTGAAAGTAGCAGTTGCTTCTCTTTCCTTACTATCTATTACTCTCCCTAATTTCATAGTAATTGTTTCCATTCCCATTGCTTTACAGTATCCATAATTTTGGAATCTTCTCTTAATAAAGACTGTGATCGCTAAATGCCCCAATCTTTTCCCAGGCCCGTCTCTTTCCTACTTTACAGCACTTGACACTGTAAGCTGTACTTGAAACGGTCTTCCTTTGGCTTCCTAATATTATGCCTTTATAATCGTCCTTCTATCTACTGTGACTGTTTCTTCTCTACTTTTAAAAAAACTGCATCTCTACTTCTTTATCTTTTATACAAATATTTTCCAAGTTTTAGTCCTTAAGAGCTTTGCATCTCTCTCATGCATGCCTTTCCTTTAAAAGTCTCATCTACTTAATCTTTATTTTTTATGTAAAAGACTCACAGATCTCTAAATTTGACCTTTCTTAATTTGATACCTTAAGCTCAGCATGTCAAAAATCAAAATGATCAGGGCCGGCCCGTGGCTCACTCGGTAGAGTGCGGTGCTGATAACACCAAGGCCACAGGTTCGGATCCTATATAGGGATGGCCGGTTGGCTCACTGGCTGAGCGTGGTGCTGACAACACCAAGCCAAGGGTTGAGATCCCCTTACCGGTCATCTTTTAAAAAAAAAAAAAAATCAAAATGATCTTTTCTTCAATGCCAGCTTTTTTTCTGTTTCTGATAATGATGCTATTATGATCCCAGGCTGGACATTTACACATTTTTCCTCAACTTTTTATTTTGAAAAATGTCAGATGTACAATGTAATTAAAATAACACAGTGAACACTGAAATACCCTCCATCTCGATTTAATAAGTATAACCATTTTGCCGTATTTGCTTTATCTATGTGGTTTGGACCATTTGACAGGAAGCTGCAGACTATGACGCTACAGCCCTAAGTACTTCAGCATTTATCTTCTAAGTATAAGGACCTTTCCCGCTAACCACAATACCATTACCATAGCTAAGATAATAACAGTGATTCTATGATAACTTCTAGTTCGTATTCAAATCCCCCTCAATTTTTCTAAGAATGTCTTTAAAAAAATTTTTTTTTCAAATCAGGACCCATCAGGGTTCATATTATAAATGGTTATGTCTCCTTAGTTTCTTTTAATTTATTTTATCATTATTTTTAAAAAATTTTTTTATTTTTAAAAGATGACCGGTAAGGGGATCTTAACCCTTGACTTGGTGTTGTTAGCACCATGCTCACCCAGTGAGCAAAACGGCCATCCCTATATGGGATCTGAACCCGTGGCCTTGGTGTTATCAGCACCGCACTCTCCCGAGCGAGCCACAGGCCGGCCCCAGTTTCTTTTAATTTAGAGCATTTTTTTCTCCCCCATCCCCCATGACATTGACTTTTTGAAAAGGCCAGGCAAGCTTTCCTATAGAATGTCCCACATTTTGGATGTTTCCTCATGATTATATTTAACTTTCCTCTCCTCTGAATTTCCTGTAAACCGGAAGTTAGGTCTAGAGGCTTGATTAGATTCAGGCTGAACATTTTTTGGTAAGGATGCTTCATGGGTAAAGCAATGCACACATCACATCAAGAGGCACATGATGTGTGATGCTAAATCTAACCACTTTTTCAGATTGCCAGACCTTTCTATCATAAAGGGACACTTTTCCCCTTTGCGATTAGTAAGTAATCAGTAAAAAACCCTCGGCGGGAGCGCCTCCGCGCTTCCCAAGCGGTGCACTACCACAGTGCGCCACCAGGCCGGCCCCCCATGCAAATATTTTATTCCCCAATAACCTTTTACCAAATAGGTTTTAGCATCCATTGATAATTTTTGCCTGAAACAGTTATTACATTAGAGATTACAAATTTGGGATTTTTCTAATTCTGTTATTCCTCATAAAGTTATTGGTTGGCATTTTTCTGTAAGGAACAGTTGTCCTTTTTTTTTTTTTTTTTTTTTTTTTTTTTTTTTTTAACTGATGAGGACTTTTGGATCTTTACTTATTTATTGTATTATAGTCGAGTTTAGTTGTTACTCTTTTCAAAGCTCAGGTTATCCCACATATTTTATCTTTGGGAACTCCTTCAACTTGGCTCCTGTGTCTCTTGTTTTTTAGTATAATATTATTTTTGAGGTAAATTTATATACAATAAAATGCACAGATTTTAAGTGTATACATGTGCCCATGTTTCTGTTTTTGATATGGTCCTATTCGTCTTTGAGTACTTCTTTATTTTTCGCACAAAAAGGTGAATGAATGAAATTCATTTTGTACTTTGCCTCAAACCTGGTATCAGTCATTTCTTTAAAAAACCCTTGTCCCTTTAATGGGGAGTGGCATTTAGAAACCAAGTTTGGGTCAAGGTGTACTCATTCCTACTGGAGTGTTAATGCTCCTAGTTTCTATCTGTGGGCAGAACTAGAATCTTTCTATATATATATTAAAGTATTTCAATTATGTGTTTATATTGATATTTCAAATTTAAGTTTAACATACCTGGGATTTTATTTGATCTCTTTGATTTTATACTTGTTTCTCTTTTCTCTTTTCACTGAAAACTTTCATTCCTATAATATTAACCTACATTAATATGTTTATGTATCTATTTTATCTTATTCTAAATTATTTTTCATTCTTCCTTTCTAACTTCTCTAACAATTAAGAATCAAATGTTGACTTTTTAAATCACCTTTTTATTCATTTCTTTGATAAAGTGACAAATGCTTGTCAAATTAATGAAAAGATACAGTCTCTGCCCTTTTAAATTCAAGTCTTACCTTTTTAAAGAAGTGCAGTGCTTTATGTGATGATCTCTGTCATGACCTTGATGTGTAAAATGTTTGTTTGCTTTGGATTTCTGCTTTCAGGGGTTTGTTGCATCGGACCAATGTCCCAAAGGAAGTTGTTGATTATATCATCTATGGCACAGTTATTCAGGAAGTGAAAACAAGCAATGTGGCAAGAGAGGTGAGAAAAACTTATATCGTTTAAAGAGATTGATAGGAGAATCATTTTGAATTTCAACTAATAGACCTTACTTTTTAGAAGCTATTAAAATCTATTTAAAATCCATGAAGTAAAATTGCAGTTGATTTAAAATGTCATTTTACAACTTGGATAATAGGTGTAATTTAATATTTAAAAGAATTATACTATAAATCAAATGGCATATATTATATTAATATATGTTCATACTTTACTGTAAATCAAATTAACTATTTGAGCTGGTTTAGGAAATGTTAACTTTTCTGTCTCTAGTGTTAGGAAACTAGAGATTATGGCAAAGTGTGGCTGGTGTTACTTTTAGTAAGGTTAGATATCATGGCTTCTAATTCACTTAAAATTTCAACATTTTGCAAAGAACTAATTTCATAGCTTGGTTTTTGTTAGTTGGAGGTAGCCTTGCTTATTCATTTGTTCCCACTGACTAGATGACATGTAAGGCAGGTTTTTAAAAAGCTATTTCTAGGGCCGGCCCGTGGCTCACTTGGGAGAGTGTGGTGCTGATAACACCAAGGCCATGGGTTCGAATCCCTATATAGGGATGGCCGGTTAGCTCACTGGCTGAGTGTGATGCTGACAACACCAAGTCAAGGGTTAAGATCCCCTTACCAGTCACCTTTAAAAAAAAAAAAAGAGCTATTTCACAAGGGTTTACTTTTACCCTAGTTGGCACAACTCCATGTAGTATTTGTTGGGCAACCTTGATAATGACAGGCCTTGGAACTTCTGTGACTTGTCCTATAGGAATTTCACAGTGAATAGTCCAAACACATCTTCTGGACTGTGTTTCTATTTGAAAGTGATTATTTGGATGAAGTTGGCTCCAAAGCACATTTCAGCTAAGCATTTTCCTTATTTCTGGGCTGTGCTTGCTATGTTGCTGTGTTCGGTATAGTCGTGAGGGTAATAACTTCCATCTTTATCAGCCGGGGGAGAAGGGAAAATGAGAAGGACTGAAAGTATTTGTTCTGCTCCACCTTTTTACCTGTCAATAAATGTTAAAACTGCTGAAGGCCTGGCATTACTGAAGCCCACAAAAGTGAACTGTATGTTGTTGGGAGATAGGAAAGAAGAACAGGAAGAGGTTTTCCGCCCCCCTCCTGAAATATTTTTCCCCAGAACTTTGCATTTCTGAATGTATCAAATGCAGCAGTTTCATGAGTACATCAAACTATTCATAATAAATTTTCAACTTTTATATTTTGAAAATAACCACGTGACTTTTATAAGAGCACTTAAAAAATAAATATTGTCTGCTTCAGTTCTCTCTATATTTCTATTCTTTCTTAAAGCTAAAGCCATAATGTTTTTCTCTGAATTTTTTTCTGGAAATTTTACATCTATATGCAGATCTCAGTTGTTGATAGGCATGAAGTAGATTCCCTCTCCTTGCCCAATGCTAATACCAGTTATGTTGTGTTGCAGGTAATTTTTGCAGTGGCTGCAGGGAAAGGTTAAGTTGAGGGGATACGTTGTATTGAAAACTAAAAGCTAACATAATTTCCAGCTAAAGAATTTCTTTAGGACCTGTTATCTATATAAATAATGTCAATATGAAACCCTAAAAGGCTTCTGGTGTACCCATGAATCCAATTTTGCTGAAAAGCCTCGGCATGTTTCCCTGCTCTCCAACTTAACTAAGAGGCATCTTCCTTCTTTCCCCGAGTGCCCTGAGAGCTTTCCAACTTTAAATAGAAGCACATGGACACGGGTCACCAGCAAACACCTCTATTTAAAGCTCCTTTAGTCCTGAGAGTTCTCTAGGGCCAAGGGCAACACATCTTAAAAGGCCCTCGTGAGGATTAGGCCAGTATGACCTGAGTGCCCTTGCACTTGATCCACTGCAGATCTCTTCTCTCCTGCACCCTGAAGACTTGCCTTTCTCTTCCTTTTGGATTGGTTTACACTGAGGTTGACCTGCAGTTTCAAGGCACTAGTTTTCAGCAAAGTGGGTTGGGCTCTTAGTATCAGACCTACTGGAAAGGGCTCTTAGTATCAGACCTATTGGAAAGGGCATGTTGCATGTACACTATGGTAACACATTTCTATTTCTATAGATTATGGTAAATAGTATGTAAGTAGTATAATGGTGAAAATCAATTAAGAAACATTGAACCTCTTTAATCTAGACTTTGGAAACATATTTATTTTACCAAATTATAGGACAGTTTGTATTCTGAGAATAATTAAATAGTTCCAGAAAAAGAACGCTAAAAATGAATTTCTTATAATGGGATTCAGATTTTCATAGTTAAATAGTTGGGGTGTGGGGGTGGGGGAGTAGTAGGAGCTCTATTTTTAAAGTTAAACTTTAATATTATAAAGTAACTATTTTATAATTGCACCTATGCATTAATTCTTTACATAAACAAAAATGGAATCAGGCATTGATTTTTTTTGACAGCATAATTTCTTCAATAAATAGTATAATAAAATCATAGACATCCTCATTTCATGTTTGACTTTTACTGTGCCTTCATAGTAGAGGCCATGTTTGTAAGATTAATGGAGGGCCTCAGTTTTTCTCAAGGCCCCCTCCAATTACCAATTATTCTCTTTTGAATCACCTACGTGTCATCATCCTGGCCAGTTTTCTCTTTTCCAGTTGTTAATTGGTTTGACCCTTATTTGTCAAAGTCTCATTTGTGACTCATGCAATTCTCCAAAGTTTCTTTCAAGTCTTTCAAAGAAGACTTGAGCTTCTTTGTTCTTGGAAAGTTTTCCAGTTCTACTCTGCAGTGGGTTTGCAGTGTGTTATCTGAAGTGTCAGACTGTCGATGGATACTAACTGGCAGTGAGGAGAGAGATGAATGTTCCTGAGTGGAAACTCTGTGAATGGTCGTTTCTTTAGAAATCATTTCCATGTTTAATTACTTTTGCTTTGCTACTAAGCTTTATAAGTGCAGGGACACAGATCATCATAACCCTACCCCCTAATATATATCATTATTCTATCAATTGCATTCAACAGGTTTAGTTTAAGTGTGTTTGAAAATTTAGGGGACTGGCGTGTTACTCAGTTGGTTAGAGTGCAGCATGGTCAAGGGTTCAGTTCCGCATACTGGCCAGCCACCCAAAAAAGAAAAGAAAACAAAAGAAAATTTAAATAAGTTAAAATCAAATTAATATTGATATCCTTAAAGGCTCTGAGCAAAGCATTGCTAAGAAATTAGGTGAGATAGAAGAGTATTATAGCCTTGTATAGCACTCTAGAAACCAGCTACCAGGAATATTGCAGAGTATCAGTCAATCATTAGCTATATGAAAAATTAGTGAACCATTTCTGTGATGGACTTAGTTTTATTTTAAATATTGCTCTGTAGAATATTAAACTGAAACCCTTTCCTGATCCACCACACAGAGAGCTTTCAAAGTGTCATTTACATGATACGTTCCCTGTGTAAGTGATCATTTCATTCACTGTATTTCCTGAAGGCAGCCCTCGGAGCTGGCTTCTCTGACAAGACTCCTGCTCATACTGTCACCATGGCTTGCATCTCTGCCAACCAAGCCATGACTACAGGTATGTTTAAATGGAAGCATGTTAATTTTCCACTTTTGTCTTTTACGTGATCAGAAAAATATTCTTAACAGAAGTAAATGATTAGCACAGATCTCTACATTTGTGGTTTTTAAAAAATAAGGTTACATTTGAAAATTTTGGTTTTTGACAATAGTTCTCAACGTTTTTCTTGCTCTCCATACCTGAAGGGCACAGCCATTGACTTAGTTCCTCCCATCAGTAATGTGGCTTGCTTCAGCAGGGATTATCAACTGGGAGAGTATGTCGCTAGGAGGGCAGTTCAGAATCTGAGACATGAATAATTTGTAGCCTGCTAGGCTTTAAACCTAGGAGATTCTGGTATGATATTTCCCCATGAAGATATGCTTCTCCTCCCTCTGCTATGCTGTAGTTGTAAATACCTGCTTTAGATGGTACAACTCTTTCCTTCACCCTTCTCCCTACCCTTGGGCATTTTTATAAGTCATTGCAAATTGTTCTAACAAATTTTAGCTAATTGTGGGACATTTTGTAGTATCAGTTTTTAGTATGAAAAGACAGAAAACCTGGAAGATTTAGTAGACATGTGCTCTTTTAGTAATATCAAGGCCAGGTTGGGCAGTCGCAGTGATGGGGGGGCGCTCTCCACTCTAGGCAGCATGCGGTCAACTCCCAGTTAGAGCAACAGAATTCTTGCCAGTGGTGAAAAAGAGGAAGGGGGCTGCCATACATCTTAAAAGCCAGAATTTCTCTGGCTTGTAGTAGAAATTAACATTCTCTTTATAGGGAAAAACTCTTACTAGAAACTAAAGCTGGGAGCATATAAAATAGACAAGGTGTTCTGTTTTAGGATATGATTTGTTTGAGGGTTGGTCTGATAGATATTTCCAGAAGTTGATATCCATATAGCCTGAATGAACCGGGTTCGGATCCCATATAGGGATGGCCGGTTCTCTCACTGGCTGAGCGTGGTGCTGACATATAGCCTGAATGAAACTTGTTTTTCTCTAGTGTATTGAATGTGTTTTTAGTCATTTAAAAAAATTATCTTAATCTCTCTGAAAAGATGAAAACTTTAATTACAGATGTAGAACAACTTTTTAAATCAAGAAGCTTACATTTCAGTGGTGTTATTTTCTGCAAAAGATGTTCACATACATATAACCTGTGCCCCTTAGGTGTTGGCTTGATTGCTTCTGGCCAGTGTGATGTGGTGGTAGCAGGTGGTGTTGAGTTAATGTCCGACATCCCTATTCGTCATTCAAGGAAAATGAGGAAAATGATGCTTGATCTCAATAAGGCCAAGACCCTCGGCCAGCGACTGACAGTCATCTCTAAATTCAGATTGAATTTCCTATCACCTGAGGTAAGACTTATGAATTTAATGTAAATAAAGACTTTTGTTTCCAGAGCATCTCAGAGATTTAGAATTAGGTATGACAGCATGGGCTCAGGTATGCTCTGATAGTTTTAGATCTCTTAGTTATAGGGAAGGGCTAATTAATTTGGTCAAGATGGAAAAAAAAGATGGTTAGAAATTTTGAATTTGTGAGCCCTTTTTAGGGCTCACAAAGAGCTTCCCTTGTCTTGCTCTTAATTGACAGACAGTAAACAAATAGATTTTAACTTTTCCAAATAATATAGAAAAGTCCTGGGTGTCATAGACCACCTGTTAACAGCGTACCTGCTTCTTGTATGTCTCCTTTCCCAGCTTCCTGCGGTGGCCGAGTTCTCCACCAGCGAGACCATGGGTCACTCTGCAGACCGACTGGCTGCCGCCTTTGCTGTTTCTCGGCTGGAACAGGATGAATATGCACTGCGCTCTCACAGTCTGGCCAAGAAGGCACAAGATGAAGGACTTCTTTCTGATGTTGTACCCTTCCAAGTACCAGGTTAAATGGAATGCTTCATGATACTTATTAGGAAGTTCTGAATTGCTCAGATTTCATCTAAAACTCAAAAAACCCCAAATGACTTTTCAATAAGTATGTTGGTTCTGTTAAAAAAAAATACTCAGCTTTTATTCTTAAAAACGGACTCAAGTTTCGATTTATGTTGTATCAATATGTAAACATCTAAAAAAAGTTGTAATGAGTCTCCTTTTAGATCTTCCTGATATATATTAGTTCTTATTTACACACCTATTTTTAAAATCCCTCATTCATTTGACTTGTGTATAGAATAGCCAAATGTGAATGAATATCTGAAGAAAATAGGATGTCCTTTTTTTATTAAACCAGTTAGGTGATTTCCCAAATGTCTTAAGGGTTTAGTTTAAAATTTAATAATATCTTGATAACTACAGAAGGCTTCCTTTCTAGTGAATAGGTAAGGTTTACATTTCATTTGTTCTTGTAATTTTTAAAGCATATTTTTCTGCAGAAGATATATAATGCTTGTAGTTCTTTAGAGTTAAAAAGTTTGTCTTTTTATAGGAAAAGATACAGTTACCAAAGATAATGGCATCCGTCCTTCCTCACTGGAGCAGATGGCCAAACTAAAACCTGCATTCATCAAGCCCTATGGCACAGTGACAGCTGCAAATTCTTCTTTCCTGGTAGCTATCAAAGCTATTTGTGCTCAGTAGTGGCTTTTATATTTCTGCTCTCTCAGTAGAAAAGCCTAAGATAGATTTATTTTTGTGTATTATGAAGAGGCTTAAAAAATGTAGTTATTCATTATAAAGGTAATGTTAAAACAGAATCATTAAAAAAAAGAGAGAATCATAGTTTTAAGGCCTTAGAAGTCACCTAATCCAGCCACCATTCTGCTACAAAAGCTGTTCTCTTCAGGCACTGAGCCAGTCAAAAAAGTTTATAGCCCTATGCTATAATTCATTTCACTGGAAATGAAAAGAACAGACCATTGTAATATAGTGAGAAAATTCTGTAAGTCTAGACTATTGGAGAAAATAAAAAGGGGGCCCCTGACCCAGATGGGGGTTGGGGGGGAGGAGTCAGAGAGGCTTTTCAGAAGAGGTAGGACTGGAATAGGAAATCTTGAAGAAAGAGTAAAAGCCAATGCGAGAAGTGCATTAAAAAAAAAGTATTCTAGGTAAAGGGAACAGCAAATGCAAAATCAAGAAGGTGTGCGAGCAGGGGCCTCTTTAGGGAAGAGCTTGGTTGGAGAATAGGATGTGAATTGGGAAGTCACTGAAGACATGGAAAAGTGGGCAGAAAGAATAACAGCACACCTCTTCTAGCTCTGATTGTTAGAAAACGACGCTTTATACTGACCCCAAAATTATTTTCCTATAAGCATCATGGAATAAATCTTACCCTTGCTTTTTGTTTTGTTTTTTACTTCTCTGCATTCATCTTATATCCTTTCTTGCTTTTTTGACTCCTCCTCAATTAAACATCCCTATTGATTCTGCTGCTGCTTGTAAGAGGTGGTTTCTCTTTGCTTAGCACTTTGGGTGTAGTCTTCTGGATATAGTCCAGCTGGTCAGTGTTTCTTCTGTAACTCCCCTACCTGTCCATAAGGTTTGGAAACATATGCAGATGTCTGACACATTTGCCCATGGTAAGTGATTAATGCCTTCTCTTGATGGGCTAGGGGAAGGGCACCTGGAGAGGTTCCCACAGGATAGTGCACCACACCGTTAAGCTTGAGTGGCAAAGGACTGGTTAGATGGTCATTTCCAAAACCAAATTGGAAGATGGGCCATGTGGCGTGGGCTGCACTCACCAGATCTGAATCCATTTGATTACTTCTGGGGTGTGCTAAAGGTCCAGGTTTATTCAGTGAAAATCAAAGACAAATCAGAAGCAACACATCATAGACAATAGATTTTTGAAAATGTGCTAATGTATCACATTTATTGCACAATAGCAAAATTTGAACATATTATTAATGTGATGTCTATAAGCAATTTACTGTGTATAGTCACCTATGTTTCCAGACTTTATGGTCACCCTATTGGTGGCTACATAGTCTCTTCAAGGCTTCTGAGTGATTAAAGTAAGTTAGAATGTGGTAGAACTTGCTTTGATTTTGCAAATTATATGGAGTAGTTTCCTTTTCATTGGAATTTTGGATTTTGGGGAGAGTTCTTTCTTTTTTGAAGTAATGATAAAGGTTTTTTCCCCCCATTGGTGCCTCTTTGTCTCCCAACTTCTCAATTGTCATATGGGGTGTGTCCAAAGAGGGAAGACTGGTTCTCTGGTTCTTAGCTGTCCACCTGTTTCTTCTTCACACATTGGTTTGCTTGCTATAGAGTCTATAAATAGAAGAAAATCACATGGAAGCCCTGGGGAGGAATCAGCTCAGAAACAGCCCAGAAAATGTAAAAATAAATAAATTAAATAAATAAGGGATTGTTTTAATTTATAAAATTCCTCATATTCTCTACCAAAAGCAAAAAACGTTAGCTTAATGTTATCATGAATAAGTATTTCTTGAGTTACCTCTTCTCTTTGTCCATTTTGATAATTAATGATACTTTTGAACAGGCTCCTGTATCCTCATCCTCCAAAAATGAGTCAGTGTATGAGTTTGAATTGTGATTTAATGACATATGCAATGAAATGTTGTTATATAGAATCACTGTATAAGTATAATGCATTAGTAGATTCAAGAACAAGACATAGAAGATGTCTGTAGAAAGAACTCCAGACATGCTAAAGGATTTAACATTATTTTTCTGGTTAACCTTTCAGACCGATGGCGCATCTGCGATGCTGATTATGGCAGAGGAAAAAGCTCTGGCCATGGGTTATAAGCCGAAGGCATATTTGAGGTAAAGTAAATGTTCAAGTGAATTGTCTCTGATCTCTTTATTTTATTACTGGCTCTAACCTCTCTGGTTTGTTTTTTTTTAACCTCTCTGTTTTTTACCTAGAGATTTTGTGTATGTGTCTCAGGATCCAAAAGATCAACTTTTACTTGGGTAGGTAGCAGTGTATTTCCTTGGACTATAATCAAAAGTATTTGATTACCCACATTTATTACGCAGATTTTAAAGTACGTTAAGCCCCAAGTTCATAATTGGTTTGTGTGGTGGGTTTTTTTTTTTTAACATAATAATAATTCTTTTTTTTTTTTTTTGTCTTTTTCCGTGTCCGGCAACGGATCGCAACCCTCAGTGTTGCCCCCATACCGGACCGGGGACCGGCAACGGGATCGCAACCCTCA